CACGTGGTGTACCCTGGACATCGTATATTCATACGGCAAAAAAGTTTATTAACCGGCAATTGGCTTCTGACTTCAAACTACCATGCCCCCACTGTATGCCATTTTCTACCACTTCCAGAGTACTCTGTCTCCCCATCCCTCGACTTTCTGTTACTTTGGTGTTCTTCCTCCTCCCCGTGAAGCCCGAAGTCAGCTAAAGGGCTAATGATAACTAACAAAACGCCTGCCATTGGAAATAAATATTACAAACATACTAATTGTAAGGTGTACCTTATTGGTAACTATCTACCAAAGCATAGACGGCTCCAAGGAGACTGTGGCTAAAGTAGATCAAACCAGGTTTTATTGTGCCATGTTAAAAATCTGGGTTGACGAATGTGAAAGTCTAAATGGTAGAATTGATTACTGTTCGGAATCCATGTGTTTAGACAGAATATTTTCATTTTTATGATTTCACTTTGGGCTTCTACTGTCGAAAATCCTTTTAAAGTGAAAAAATGAATTGATACTACCAAATACCTGATGTGGAAGCAAAACTTTATCTAATCCATTTGCAGTTCTTCGGAAGGTACCTGAGATGGTGCTGTAAACAAAGCTGTGGAATCAGCAAATCTCTTACCTTCTTCAAAAGCAACTAAACATTACAGCATATCCAGACTCAAATATGCACTGAAATGAATGTTTAATAACTCAAAACGTTGTGTTTATTCTTTATTATTCACTATCAACTTTTCATGAACTTTATTATGAGTTTTAGTACCATAAAAATCGGTTTTAGTTTCCAAAAGCGTAATTATTGGGTGGGCAACTAAGTCGTTGCCTTTTTTGTTGACAGATTCACTCTATACTTTCTCTTGTTTTGTTAACGAGGCCAGAACATCTAACCTATATTTTTTTCTTACTGCATGGGCTTCTAGGTTAATTAGTAAAAAATCTTTTTTGTTTAGTTCTTTAGTTTTGTTTTTATCCCAATTTAAAAATGAAAGAACAGGACTTGCACTTCCGACACATCTTATTGTATTACTTCCGAAAAGGCAAGAACGCATCGCAAGCACAAAAGAAGTTATGTGCCGTATATGGAGATGAAGCCTTCAAAGAAAGGCAGTGTCGAAATTGGTTTGAAAGATTTCGTTCCGGTGATTTTTCACTCAAAAATTCACAATGATCTGGCCGCCCAGTCAAAGTGGATGAAACCCATATCAAGGCCATTATCGATTCAAATCGTCACAGCACAACACGAGATATTGCAGAGAAGCTCAATGTGTCGCATACATGCATTGAAAACAAATTAAAAACCCTTGGTTATGTCAAGAAACTTGATTTATGGATCCCTCACCAGTTAAAGGAAATTCATTTGACGCAACGGATTAGCATCTGTGATTCGCCGCTACTGAAACGCAATGAGAATGATCCATTTCTGAAGAACCTAGTTACTGGCGACGAAAAGTGGATAGTTTATAACAATGTCGTTACTCGCAAGAGATCATGGGTGAAGAAAGATCAACCAGCCCAAACAGTATCAAAAGCAGAGATTCACCAAAAAAAGATTATGCTGTCAGTCTGGTGGGATCACAAAGGAATTTTGTATTTTGAACTCATGCCGCAGAACTAAACGATAAATTCAAATGTGTATGTTGAAGAACTCGAAAAACTGAAGGATGCAATTGAAGATAAGCGGCCGGCATTATCAAATCGGCGGAAGGGTGTTGTTTTCCATCATGATAACGCAAGGCCCCACACATCTTTGATTACTCGGCAAAAATTATTGGAACTGGGTTGGGATGTTTTGTCACACCCACCATATAGCCCTCACCTTGCGCCTTCGGATTACCATTTGTTTCGTTCCATGCAAAACTCTTTAAATGGTAAAATTTTTAACAACGCGGATGATGTCGGATCACACCTAATTCAGTTTTTTAATAGCAAAGACCAGACATTTTACGAACGGGGAATTTTTACTCTGCCAGAACGATGGAAAAAGGTCATCGACAAGAACGACCAATATCTAATTGAATAAAGTTATATTTTTAAACAAAAATTCCGAATTTGCCTTCTTATTTGAAATCGGCAATGACTTAGTTGCCAACCCAATATTTATAAGGGCTCAAGGGGTGTGCTAGATTCTGGATAAGCAGATATTTGATTGGCTATGAACTAACCAATAGGGTCACTGTTAGGGGTTCGTTGAAACTGATAAACGCAAAGAAGCTGATTTGCCTGTCTACGTGCTTTAAAGTTGGGTTCAAGGTGACAAGTGAACTTCGGGCAAACTTTTCTCTGATAATCATTGTGCTTGTTGAATTATTCGCTTCGGAAATATTTCGATATGGGGCCAAGTTTTTCGGATGTTGACGATATTTTAGAATCTGCGCCAACGTAAGTTGTTCCGATTGGCATAAATAAGCAAAGATTAAAATAAATAAAAGTGCCATTGATAATTTTAAATTTTTTGTAAAGAATACTTGATTGATCCTGTAAAGATTGTTGATTTGTTTTTTATCTTGTAAGCTTTGTTTAAATTAATTGCCAGGCATATTTTGATGAGACCTAGTCTCACTATTCAAGGCAAGTTGACAGGTTTGTTTACTTTCATGACTAGGCATGTCACATCTCAAAGAGTAAACCCGAAAGTTTTTCGTATTCAAATTGACATCATTTGAAGTTTTTACTGTCTATTTGTACTGAGCAAAGAATGCCATCATTAAAAATCAGAGGAGGAGATGAGACTTTGAAAATATATTTATTTCAAAATAACCTGGAAGTTATCGAAACACTTAAAGTATTTGTAGAATATCAGTATTTACTTATGTCAAATGCCATGCTTTACGACAGTTGTCATTAACCCTTTAATTGGCTTCGGGCTTCACAGAATGGAGGAACAGACAAAGTCACAGTATGTGGAGAGGGGGAACGGAAGAGTGATACACAAATGTAAAGGAGACAAACAGACACAAAGGTGATAAAAAAGGTAAGGTAAGGTGAGTACTGTGGAAGGAGTCGAATATGACATACAGTGGGGTGATGGTAGATTTAAGGCAAAAGTCATCTGCTGGTTAATAGATTTTTTTGCGTATGAGAAAACGTTTTCCAGGATGCACCACGTGGAGGTAATTCTATAGCACACTCCACTTAGGAAATAGCGATTATTTAATATTGATCCAAATCCTGTTAGCATCAGCTGTCATTGGGACCTCTTCAGCAAATCAGATATCAATCGGGGAATGGTAGAAAAATAGTGCACTTACTACCCACCTGAATGGACTCAAAAATAATCACAATTGGCCTTTGAAATCAGGCTTTTAAGTCCTAGTTTTGAGACTATTGAGTGACTTATAATTGGTTCAATGAATAGAAGGACCCTTCTGGGCTCTTTTGCCAGTTTCAATTCGTTCGCTTCTTAGCTGTGATCAAAGTAGTATACTTTTTTGGTCCCTCGGACTGAAACGATCCAGGACGATTCACTATTGAGTAAATATAAATCGGATGTGTTCGTTATTTTTCAAGCTTCTGATGCATTTATCACTTTCCACATCAACATTTGAGGCTACTACGAATTAAACCAACCAACTCACAGTTTAAGTCTATTTTATTTCAAATCATACATACTCTTGCCCACCTGATTTCAAATAATTAATAATTTTACAATCTCTCCTGGTTAGATTCGCCTTGTTTCTGGCTTTATTCATGTATTTGTAGAAGTTAAGCGAATTATAGTTGAGCTCACTTAATTGATTGATAAGATGAAAGGTGTTTGTTTGATGGAACGTGATTATTCAACTATCATTGTGCAAGGGTGGTGAAAAATTGACTTTTACTGCCGGAATATATTCTCAAAGATGAGTGCTTATTAAATTAGTAGATCCAAGAGGAGCAACTATTTTTCCAGAAAGACTTTGTTACTCCCATTAATGACCTCATAAAAATAAGAATATAGAAATGAATGTACGGTTAGGCAGAACCGAGAAGACTAAATCATGAAAATTGGGTTCTAGGGCACTCGGTTCTAGAATTTAGACAATGCCAGACCCTTGATAACCTGACCTCACTATATCATCAACTCAAGGAACGTGTCGCATCTCGTTATTGATTTTTTTTGCGATGTCTAAGTAATTTCCCAAGGTTCACACTTCGAAGATTTTTATTTCCTATTGCGATGAGAGAGTAGAAAAACTTGCCCCATCTAATGCTTCAAAGCAAATATAGACTCTGAGTTTTAAGGAAAAAGTTGATATCCAATTTCTCTTTAGGTTAAACGTATTACACGAATAAAAATGCAATTATCGATTATTCGGGATTTTGTAATTTTCAATTCAACGAATATTTACATATTTAAACAAAAAAGCGTTTAATTATGACTTAATTGGCATTTGTCATGAAAATGAAATTGAATAATCTTGAAAACTTCTAGTCATTTGATTACATAGCTCTAACTTACCCTCAATAATCTCTATGGCAAGATGCCTTTGTGTGGAATTGTTCCCAAAGTTAGCTGAGCTATCTCAGAATGCATGACGTGGAATGCCTCTATGTTGGTTGTATTTGATGACAAGGAGCTTAGTCACTAAATACTGCTTTAGGTACGATAACCCTGCAATGACAATTGCTTATTGGTTGGTTGTGAGGTCTTTGGATTTGTGGTCTCTTTCGCTCCCTAACGCAATCCACACCACGGTTGCACGTTTCAGAATGGTTGAGCTCTCATTGGATTGCTTTGTTCACTCGTGTCCGGATCATGTCCTTCGTAAGGGATCTAACGGGGGATAAATTTAAAAAAGATTGTATTAATGAAGTCAGTGGGTCAAAAATCTTAATTTAATTTGAAGGTTTAGTAGCCAACCCCTTCATATAGGGTTGGACTTCCTTTTCAATACCCAAAGTGTTTCATGGGCGAGTTTGTCACCTCGGCGTCAGGGTTACTTGACTAGATGATTCACGATTGAATGTCTAGTTGCGTTAATATGACTTAAGTCTAATATAATTTGAGAGCCGATGAGACCACAATAGGCGCTTAAATGTGTTAGAGTCAGCTATAAGTGACATATACTTTAGATAATAATTTTAATTCAATTTTATTTGACAGCTATGAAGACCTATCCGATCTTGAATATGAAAGAAACTCCTTGGGATCTAGGAAGATTCACCATAAAATTAACCCCAATGGAAGACAAGATCATCATGCCATTCCTGACGCAAGTCCTGGCCGACATCAGGATTATAAGTCGGGTCAATCTGGCGGAAAGGTATCAGCAAACCTAGTGAGTTATTTTCTTAATGAATTGCATTTTCAGTAGATGAATGTCTGTGAATTCTGGGCGTCAGATGCCACCTCCAAAATTTAAAAAACGAAGATGATTAGTGGGATTAGATTCGAGGAGCCTCTCCAAGGCACCTCCACACTTTAGCATCAACTCACGGATTAAGCTCCATAGCTTCCAGGAAAACTGAATTACCTTTGAGTCCGATGTGGGTTCCTAGCTGATAAAAGCAGTTGGTTCATGAGACTACTTCATCGATTAGGTTTGAATCTTTCAAGAACGTGTTGATTATAAGACAGTAATAACATTGGATATTGTAATTAGACTAGTAGCGTAGAGGTCACGCAATCGATGGCAATCTGAGTGGGATATCTTCCAAATATTTATTTATTTCAAATGGCGGGTGTTTTGATAGTTATCATTAGCCCTTTAGCTGACTTCGGGCTTCACAGAGGGGCGGAGGAACATCAGAGTAAGAAAAAGTCGAGAGGGTGGGGAGGGGGGGACAGAAGAGTGATTCACAGATGTAAAAGAGACAGACAGACACAAAGGCAGAGAAAAGGTGAGATGAGTACTGTGGAAGCTGTGTAATATGACATACAGTTGGGTGATGGTAGTTTGAAGTCAGGAGTCAGCTGCCGGTTAATAGACTTTTTTGCCGTATGAGTATACGTTGCCCAGGGTGCTCCACGTGGAGGTAAGTCTATCGCACACCCCCTGAATTGAATGTTTGGTTTACGAAGCTTTTAATTCATATTTACTTTCCTAATAACCTACTTCATATATATTCATATGGCTTTTTTAAAAAAAGACTCTGCCATTTTATAAGATTCCATCAAGTAATTTAAATTAATAGTTACTTAGTCATTAGTTGGTCTAACCTAGAATGTTTCCTATTCGTCTTTTTCAGCTAAGTCCATTACTTGTATAAAGTCATTCACTGAAATTTAGTATTCCCGGTGAATCAAAGGGTTATCACATTTTTCCTTTTTGTGTTCCACAGATGGACTTATTGATTGCCTGGACCCGGACTGTTGTGGAACAGACCACTGCGAGAAGTTGATTCGTCTTCGAGGCAACCTCCAACAGGTTGTTGAAGATGCTCTTCAAAGTTGTGCTCATAGTACTGAGATCAGTTCTCTCATCTTGAGTACAAAGTTGCCACCTCCAGGCAGTTCATTCTACGATCAATTGGAATTCCTTCTGCTTCGTGATCTCACTACCGATAAGGTTGATCCTCGGTGCGTCTGAATTGTATTATCTTCCACTTTCTCCTTAATAGCCCCAGAGTTTAGTTAGTAACGTCTTAATAGGCTACTGCCAACAATTGGAAGCATGCAGAAAATGGAAAATTCAATTTATTACTTTTATAATAGTAAATAATTATTTGATCAATTTACCGGAAGAGTGGCTTGACGTGATAAAAATACTTTCGAGAGTACTTTTTCTAAACGAAGAGGGAAATGTATTGCGCTGAAACAAATTTCCAGCCTCTAGATTTCTCAAAGTCTTTGGTTGTGTATCTCTTCCTTTTGGCTAGAAATAGGTTGCCTTAATTGAAAATAAAGTTAGAATAATAATTTCATGTCAATTGTTTGTAAAATTGGTATATTTGTTAAAATGTATCAAATTGAAATGTCATCGTGCGACAGTGAAATACTTATCTTATCACTGCTTTTCATAAGTTTCTTCTAATTTTCCCAAAAATGCCATAATTTAATAAATTTTAACTCAAGAATAGCTCTTTTGTTTTAAGACACGTGATGGGGAAGTGCTTAAATTATGCAAATCGCATCCTTGAGAAAATTGATGGAGATGACTAAGCACGCAGTTAAGTAGAATGGTCAACGGTCTCTGAACTTGTAGAACATGAGCCTCCTTTCCTTCTAAACCAAGATTTCGAATCATACAATTTGCGAGTTAGTCCAGTAGTGTAGGAAATAAGTAAGTGTGCTTCACATAAGGAGTTGGCAACTCAATGTATCTAGACCTCAAATGTTGAGTAACAATTTATAGTTTGATTTTATTTTCTATTGTACCTCAGTCGTCTCCATTTTACCCTAAAACGAACTGTTTAGCTGTAGTCAGTTGTTTAAATATATGTGTATTTTTTCTCTACTCATCTGACTTTTGAGAAAATATTAGTTTCAAATGGCAGGCGTTTTGTTAGCTATCATTAGACATTTAGCTGACTTCGGGCTTCACAGAGGGGCGGAGGAACATCAGAGTAAGAAAAAGTCG